CTGTATCCTTCATAAGGACAACAGACTACACTAAGGCCCTCCTGAAAACATTCAATACAATCCAGGATAGAGGTACAAAACATCTGTGATTTGAAGCACGGTCCCTTTTAATTGCAACACCAAGACCTACAGGTTTAAAAGGTTGCCCTGCTTGATACCTGCTTGATGGGGTTCTAGGAGTTCTTCTACTCCTCAAGCCTGGCCCGAGGTCACGCTTGACTTGAGAGCTTGGTCCAACAGAGAACTGGCCCTCTTCAGAGTTCACTGTCAAACCAAACACCAGCCACCACCAAGTAGTGTTTAATAGCAAAGATATAACTGGAATTTCATATTTCCAGCTACTGTATTTCTCTGAGAGGATGTAGATATTTTATTTCTTCCTTTTGGTGTCATAGTAAGTAGTTTTTTTTCAGATTGAACTTTATCTCCTTTCCCTAATTGAGATATCTATCTTGCAAGGTACTTGTCACAGAAAAGCAGAGGTAAACAGAGCCTGATGTCATTGTATTGTGGATAGGCTCAGATCCTGGCTCGGAGAGTGATCAAGGAGGCCTGGCTCACAAAATTGTCTGAAGTTTGACAAAATTTGTGTAAAAACAGTTTGTAAAACTGTTTTTACACACATTTTAACAAACTGTAAAAACAGTTTGTCTGTGTTACCTATGAAAGCATTTTTTGGGGTCCAGTTATGAGGTACCCTTGCTTTTATTAATGTTTCTGTTTCTTATCTATACTTTCACTGTGACACTGCTTGTAGGATCTTAATATTAAACTCTCTTCATTCAGATTTTTCTTTTAATAAATATTTTATCACCTTTATTATTATGATTTTTATTGTCATTTTCTGTCTCTTTTTTTTCTGTCTTCCTCCTGTTTTCTCACTTGCATAGACTTGATGTGAGCACCTTAAATCTGTTTATGAACCAGTGGCATATCGAGGGAAAATATTGGCTATATAGGTGATCTATAGTATCTAGATATGTATGGAAAGTATTTAGGGAAAATATCGCACTGAAATTACACCCCTGTCCAGGTATCTGATACCCATCTCTCAGATAACTTTATCATAAAACCAGCTTTAAAATACCAATCAAGTTCGTTAATCTTTTATTTGACAAATTATGGTGATCTTGAGACGATTTCGGGGCTTAGTATCCCCCACAGCCCGGTCCTCGACCAGGCCTCCTTTTTGTTACACCCCCAAGGAAACAGCCCGTAGCAGCAACTGTCTAACTCCCAGATACTTATTTACTGCTAGGTAACAGGGGCATCAGGGTGAAACATTTTGCCCATTTGTCTCCTCCTCCACTGGGGATCGAACCCGAAACCTTAGGACTACGAATCCGAAGCGCTGGCCACCCAGCTGTCAGGCGCCCTCTTAAACAAAGGCTTGTTAAAGATTTGCACCCAGTAAATTCTCCCTGGCCAGGATACGATCCTAGGACAAAGTGCTCGCAGAACGCCAGGCGAGTGTCTTACCACTACACCACGGAGACTGTAGATGGCACTACATGAAAATTACAACTGCATCTTCCTTACAAATTGGTCTATGATGTGGTCAAAGGCAGTTTTTTCAGTTTCTTCTCATTCTACACTTAACAGAGCAAGATCACAGAGTCTGCCTTGACCCAGGGAGGTTCTCAAATACGAAAGTATTAGTTTTAACATGCTGAATGATTTCTCACGGCTGGCACTGGAAACTGCGATGATTAGCATTATCTGAATAGTAATGTGAAAATTAGGAAGATGCTCTCATCTCCATACTTAATAATAAATTCGAGAAGCTCTTCAGGTCTTGATATTTTCACATTAGCCTGACTTGATAGTGACATTCTGCAATCCAAAATTTCTTTGTATAGCTGCTGTCCATCAACACCATTGGGGTACAATTCGCCCAATTTTTTGCACTTCTTTAGGTTATTCTCATCAGCAGTAGCACCGTTATCTTGAGGTTATCTTGAGATGATTTCGGGGCTTAGCGTTCCCGCAGCCTGGACCTTGACCAGGCCTCCTTTTTGTTACACACCCCCATGAAGCAGCCTGTAAGCAGCTGTCTAACTCCCAGGTACCTGTTTACTGCTAGGTGAACAGGTACATCAGGGTGAAAGAAACTTTGCCCATTTGTTTCCGCTTCCACCGGAGATCGTACCCGGAACCTCAGGACTACGAATCCAAAGCACTGTCCACTCGGCTGCCAGGCCCCCGTAACACGCTATTATTATTTGTAGTTAAAGGAAAATAAATCCTTTAAAATAAGTCAGATAAGCTATCCAAGGATAGCTTATCTGACTTTGATAGTGCTCATTGGCACTTCAAGTGGCACTCAGGGCTCGTGCAATATTTGCCATACACTAGATACGCCACTGCAGTGAACTCTGGTTTCTGAGTGGAAGCATGATAGCCACACCTCAATGGAAGCATGTGATGACTGCTTCACATGTGAGATTACCACACTTCAATGGAAGCAAGTGGTAATTGTTTTACTTACATAATAATCATGTGGAATTCTTTCACAGAAGTTTCACAGACTCTAACCATTGTTAACAGTAGATGGCATTTACAATATTAGAAAAATCCTTCACTAGGTACTCCCTCCAGAATACTGTAGTGTTATTCCAGAAAAAGACAAGTGTTGAGATAGTAGCACAGACTATAATAGAATGGAACATGGTTTGTTTCTAGGAGGAAACAAACCCCCTCCTAGCTCCCGGAGCTATCCTCCTGGAGAGCTATGGGAGCTATCAGTAGCTCCCGGAGCCGAGTGCTGGTCCAACCAAGGTTTAGGAAAGTGCATCAGGTCTCTAAAACCCACCCTTGCCTATCAGGAGCCAGGACTAAAATCTGGCTCTTTCTGCAAAATGAAGGGTACTTAAAGATCAGAGATCAACCCAAAACTGAGATGAACCCCACTGAAATCATGATAAAAAAATAAAGAAAACTAGGTACCCTAAGGTATCTAGGAATACGATCACTGCTGCTAGATAAATACTATGACTGATGCACCTGACCACCACTAGGTTGCAGCCCAGATCAGCTGAGATTCCAGCCAGCCTGCCCTCACTCACTTGCCTGATCAGAACTTTGGGGACAGGTTTTTACCCTGACCTCAAGGTGTTCCTTCGTTCCTTCATTGTTTGGGGGTCAGACCTCCAACATGCTAGTAGCTGACCTGGCTGTGATGTCAGTGCCACTTTGTGTCCTGAGATTCTTCTGGCTCTGTAGTGTACATCTTACCCCGTGCTGCATGAATGGAGCTTCTGATAATTTCCCTGCTTTTTTGGGCACCTCACCCAGATCTTCAGGAGTGTTGTCAGTTCTTTCGTTCTGGAGCTTTGGTCCTCCTCTTTCCAGCCAGGGTTTTCTGGTTCTTGGGTCCAGTTGCCAATTCTTGAGGATTTGGTCCCTGCACCAGGTTTTCCTGCCCATTGGTTTCTTGGAGTCCTCATGGAACTTTTGGTCTTGGCCAACTGATGATCTGTCCTCGCTCCCGTGCTCTGCATTTCTGGCATCATGGTTGATGTCTGGGCTTGGGGCTTGTTTTGGTGATCGACCTGGGTATTGACTTTTGGCTCCATATGTCCCTTGGCATTTAGCACTTATATTGTATATCAATCTTTGGCCTACTGGGTTTGCCCCTCTGCACTAGGCCCTTGTTTTCTGCCATTATGTTTCAGAGGTGAACCTTGGGTAACATTTTTCAGTTTACTGATTTGTTCCTTTTTAAAAATGAAAGCCTCTTATGCTGATGTGCCATTGTGAGTTAGCTCGGGAAGCTGTTGAGGAGGTCCTCCCAGAAGTTAAGCATTTAATGTAATGAAATGTCCTTTACTGGTGGGTTCTGCAGTAGTTCCCCATTGCTGCTATATTTCCTCCATATCACATGGTAGTAGAAATTCAGTTTGGGTGGCTCTTGATCACCAAATTTTCTTAAAGCAGTTCTTTGATTTGTTGCACTTATGCTATCTGGTGTTTTTTTCCTTGGTTTAAAGTTGACCTGATCCTAAAACTCTCCTTGTGTCCCAGAAAAAGCTAGATTATGGTCTTGGCTCCTGGTAGTCAATAGTCAAGGGTCTGTCTCGGGGCCTGGTGCATTTCTCTAAGACTTGGATGGACCAGCAGTTAGGTCATGGAACTACTAAAGACTGCACCAGAAAAGGGTATTTCATTATATGCAACAACTTGATTTATATCACTGTGTCCCACTAAACAAATACTTCAATTAAATTAGGATTATGCAAAACAGATTATAGATTACCGAATTGGTGGCTGCCTTGTAACTTACTCTTTTTAAAGTACTCATTTTAAAATTCCTCATAGTTTTGCTAAACAAGTTATTTCATTTTGGCTTTGGGTATACTGTAGGCCAACAATTCATTTAATTAAGTTAATACCTAGGTACCTATTTCTATTTTAAGATAATATTTATATGACATCATTGTTCTTCATTATACTTTCATTCACGTACTAATAGCCCAAATTAACTAAATTCTGAACATGATTAAATCAGCAACAACTTTTAAGTTTGTATTCTCTTTTCAACTGCTAATTTTCCTAAAAAAAAGTCACTACTGTATATTGGAATACCAAAGCTTCTTGAATCAATATTTGTATTAATTTTTTTGTCTTGAGTTTCCAATTAGTATTTGAATATGTTTATACTAAATTATTGTAGAATTTAGATGTTCTTAATTTGTTTAATATTATTTTCACTTGTTGAGTGGTTTAACATTATTATGAGTGAACTGTAAGTTTACCAGGAATGCCTCCGTGGCTTACTTTGTAAAATTATAATTTTTTATTCCTTGTCTTTTGCTAAAATAATTATTGATTAGATCTATGGTGCTTGGTGGTGGCCTGTTTCCATACTAAATAACTAAAGGAAAAGATAATGTTGTTTGAGTGTCTGGTGAACTTCGGGACGCACTCTTGACATGGCCCTCTTAACAAAGGCATATGCTTAGCTTATCTAACTTTGGGAACTGTCTCTGTATGATGGTCAGACTGGGTCTAGGAATGGAACAACCGTGGGGCCCCAGGAAGGGTCCCCAGTTGATTCTCGACTTGGATCCATTGTTCACGAGGTTCCCGGACTCCTCGACCTTTCCCCTACTCGGAGAGATCAGGTGGTGATGAGAGAAAGACAAAGTCCTGTTAAAAAGGTGAGCTGGTACTTGTGGTGGCACTACATTTATATTACAAATGACAAGACTGACATTTGCACAGTACAAATTCTTAAGCTCGTATATGGCTGGACACGGAGATGTTCTAGTAGGAGCTTTTTTTCATTTATTTGTTTTTTGACATGCATTTTGTTATATCACCTGAGATTTGTATATCTAACACAGTGCATTCCACATACTATACTATAAATACCTCGCTTTTCATTGATGGTGGCGAGTTAAACAATTCATGCATTCTTGGTGTTTGTGTATTTAAATGTTTAAGAAGCTTCATTTGGGAATGGCTTTTATAGTTTTTACTTTTAAAGGAAAAAGCCACTGCAAAAACTAATATTGACGAGAAACTATGCATATTTTATAATGAATGCTAAAGATTATTTTTTTATCTAGTATACATTTTAAGATCTCAAATACCCAAATTATTGTCCCTGGTCACGCTTAGAAGTACAATTATTGGAAAAGTGTATCTCGACTATTGATTGTTAATTTGCTTCCGCACATTCAAACCGCAGCATGTGTAGTTATCTGCTTCACATTCTCAGACCACACCACTCTTCAAATGCAAATGTTGTCAACCTATACTGAAGTGTAGCTGGATGAATTTGATCTGGATATACCTTAGTGCATGTCCTTGTCTCCCATCTTTATTTTTTTTTTTTTTTATGTAAACTTGGCAAGATGTCTGGCATTCTTTAATGCACACCTTTTGTTGTAGAGTAGACAAATAATGACTGCTTCATTCATACTATAGTGCAATCATAGGTGTTAAATCTTGTTGCAAATGTTGTTTTTAGCTTTTTGAAGGGCCTTCACGTATTTCAGTGTGTTAAGGCAGTTAATAGCTAAAATAATATTTGTAAGGTTCTGCACGTTTCATTGTCTAAATATAGGAAAAGAAAATAAATATAAAAATTGATAGATAACATTGCAATCATCTTTATTTAATTACTATGTAATGTGGTTTTTAAGAATTACAGTGGAAACTCGAACAAGAGTACAGTACTGTGTGTGTGTGTGTGTGTGTGTGTGTGTGTGTGTGTGTATGTATGTATGTATGTATGTATGTGTATGTTATGTATGTATGTATTGTATGTATGTATGTATGTGTATGTATGTATATATGTGTGTGTGTGTGTATATATATATATATATATATATATATATATATATATATATATATATATATATATATATATATATATATATATATATATATATATATATATATATATATATATATATATATATATATATATATATATATAATACTAATATTATTTAAATGGCATCTTGTAATTTACAATCTTATTATCAGGATTCCTTTTTTTTTCCATTATTTTCTTCCTTTGTAGCATAAATCTTCACCTTTGGATGATCAGAGAGGAAGTGGCCAGAAATTACAAACTGAAGGAGCAATTTCTAAAGCTAATATGATCTCAAATGCTGCTGTAAGATCACTTAAGGATGATGATAATGTTCAAACCAAACTCAAGTCCCCAAGTTCCCAGAGATTACACGCTACTGAAAGAAGAACAAAAAAGAATGAAAGCTTTAAAACAGTTACGCCTTTAAAGAGTGATAGTCCAGAAATTAGCAATATAACGTATGCACGCTTTCAGAACAGAGAACATAGTGTTAGCCCATCTCGAAGAAAAATAAAGTCATTTTTAAAGGGAACATCTAAGAATATCTCCAGTTTACCTAGAACTAATGCAAAAAGCCTCTCCCTTCCAAGTCGAGTCAGTACTCAGAGTACCACAAAGGCTCCTACCAAGTCTACATCCAAAACGTTCTCAAATTTTAAAGAAAAGTTGAAGAAAACTAATTCTCCTTCATCAAATGTAGCTTCAGGTGATAAACCTGAATTTGGTTCAAAAATTGTGTATCATTCTGTTGTCAAGAAAGGAAGAACCAACAACGAAAATACAAAAAATTATGTCTCACCAACTGCAGTACCCAAAATTACCAGAGAAGCAAACACTAAAAGCAATAAGGTAAAAATTGCAACTAAGGAAAATTTGCCTAAGGATAGCATCAAGAACAAGTACATAAATTTGGCCTCTAAACCTTCCGGAAAAAATCATAAATTATTGCATAGTCTAGTTTCAATTAATACACAAGAGAAGAAAGTACATGTCAATAATGGACAAGCCATATCAGTAAAAAATAAAAATTATCTTGAAAATGAACCTACATCACAGTCACCTGATGTTGTTATTAAGGAGAGAGATTCTGGAATATTAGTTTCCTCATCAATAGATGATAAAGACATTGTGGAAAATGTGTCTTCAGCCTCTTCTGAACAGATCAGGAATGAACTTCACACTTGTGCTGTTTGGGATGACCATGCACACACACTTCCCAAGAATTTTGTTGTTTCATCTTGGGCAAAGTTTGAAGACTTTGACTGGAGTGAGTGGAATTCAACAATAAATGAGCATCCATTGAAAAATAGAAAAAATTCAGGCATAAAACTTGATTCAGAAGCAAATGAACAGAAAACTAGCACTGAAATTGAAGACAGTAATCCAAATGAGACCATCGCATATGAAAGTACAAAGTCCCAAGAAGCAATTTACAACCTGGAAGCAAAGTCTTCTAAAGTTTTACCTATGAGTGCACAAATTACCTTGGATGGTCAAATTAAAACTAAAGGTGACAAATGTATATGTTTAGGAAGCATTAATGATGTGAAAAAAAGTGATAATCAGGTTCAGTATGAAACTAATAAGAAAAGCGGCCATGATAATACCATATTTGAAGTTGATGGGTCAGAGAATTTACAAGAGAGTTGTATGGTATATGAAGACAGGTGGAAAATGACAAAAGCTAGCCAAGTCAAAAATGAAAGTCATGATAGAAAAGAAGACATTAAGAATAACAATTTACATATTTGTCCAGAAGATTCGGATAACAATATGTTTCCTCTTCCTCCAAGAAGACTGAAAGAGGCAATGAAAACTTGGGTCTCCTTTGAAGATTCGTCAAGTAGAATAAAAAAGTCAAAATTGAAAATCATGGGAGATACTGCGAATAGTGGTACAAGCAGTGAGGGTGTAAAGGAACTTGATAATGATAAAGCATATGAAAATGTTTGGTTTGGAACACTGCCATACACAGAAGAGGATCCAAATACACCTTTTGATGATGATTGTGATGGAGAATTTAAGGTGTATGCCAGTGTGAAACCATTTGGAGATGATAGTGATTTGTCTTCATCTTTTGATGCAGATGATGATCATTTTGCAAGAATTATTAAAGAGCTTCTGTGTGATGATCCTTCTCTTGATAAAAGAACACCTGAAGAACAGTCTGATACAAAAATATTGAAGAGTAAAGAACTTGTTGCTCTTGGCCCAGCTGAAGAAGTTATGCAAAAGCCAATGAGGTTTGATAGGATTTTTAAACTGGATATATCTCCACCGTTATTTGAAAAAGTTGAATTTATATGGCATGAGCCATACTCAAATCTTATTGCAAGTGTTTCAAAAAATATTCAGATGGAATGTCTGGAAATTATTCCAGTACTGAAACACAATTTTGAATATGCTTTGTGTCGTTTTGAAATAGATTATAAGAGAGTTGCTCTGAACCAAAACTGCAGGATTTACACCTTTGTCATTCCATTACAAGAATGTTTTGAAGAATTTCAGCAGGAGTTTGTTAGTGATATGTCTACAATGGATTATACTATATTGTATCCACAGTATTCGCAAGAACCTGCATGCGATGTGTTGCTTGCAGAGAACACTTCACTGACTGCATCGCTTGACATTGACTCTCTTAGAGTGATGAATATGTTACTGGAACAAGTTCAACCAGAATCCTGTGACAGATGTAGGATTTTGGAAACTAATGTCAGAAATTGTGTGTTGGATAATGAGACAAAGGAAATGTGTGCAAAAGAAGCATTAAAAAATGTTCCTATTATTACTTTTGAAGAGAATAAGTTAAGCTGTGACAAATCAGGTAATATTGAGATTGAGTTGACACACCATACACAAAGTACTTCAGAAGCTGTTGAAAGTGTTTTTTTACCATGTTATAAAAATTATGAAAAGTTGAAAGAATCAATAATAGATAACCAGAATACTAATGATATTAAAAATGCTGAACAGGCAAATAGGAAAGGCAATAGGAAAGATGCCAATATTAGTATAGAACATGAGCATTTTAATTTCCTCGATTCAGAGAAATCAAATGAATACACAATGAACATAATTGGTGACCAGCATGTAATGTTAAAACATGTTGGAGCGGATTATTCGGATCCATTGATATTAGAAGGTACAAGTGTTATGCCAGAAAGAAAACTATGGAATGGAGAAAGCAAAGGAATCACAAATGATAACTTATCTATAGAATGTCTTAACAACTCTGAGGGCATTGCTGAAAACACTGTTAATAGATTTGTCTACCAAAAAAAAGGACTTTGTGTAATGCATGCCATGGAAAGCATGGAGGAGGTAGAGTTAGAATTTGTTTCCCAAGAGATGGCTACAGATCAACACGTCAGTTCAAGGGTAACATTAATAGACCCTCAAGAAATTGCATTAAATGACAAACCACTTTTAGTCGACTGCGAGGATAAAGAAAAAAATTCAGGAAAAAGTTGCAAAGTACATGATCAAATTTTAAAACTTGAATCTTCAAGGCTTAATATTCCACAAATACTTATTCATGCCCCAAGTGATGAGATGCTTACTATAGATGATAACAGCTTTTTACCAGAAGAATGTGTAAGTTTACCCGAGTTTGAAAAATCTTCCTCCAGGAATAGTAGTAATTACTTGGAAACATTCAAGAAAGATGAGAGGGAGTATTGCACCAGTGATATGGAAGATATTCCAGTCTGTTCACTAGCTGAAGAAGAAATGCTTAGGGCACTAATGTATGCTTCTGCAGAAGAAGGTATGCCAGAATTCATTGATGCATTTGTCATCAGCAAAAGTCAGTGTCAGCTTCCAGAGAGGGTCCAAGCTAAGCCAAAATATATTGAGAGAGTTCCATTAAGTCTTGCAGTTGTTGAGGAGGAAATGGTTTACACTATGACTGATTTTGAATATGATTTGGTAAATGTTTTTAAATTTGAAGATGATCAAGTTGCAGGCATGGAGGAAAATAAAATTATAAATGAATTTTGTGAAGATGAAGAAATTTATGCAAAAGAAACAAGAGAGACATCTCTTGTTTTTGTTGCAGCTGTTAGGGAACTGTGCATGCATGGGCTTGAAACTTCTGATTATATGAAAGACTTTTATATTCCTGACAAGGTTTCTGCAGTGCTAAGTCCTGAAGCAAATGAACATTCACTTATCTTTACTTCGGCTGTTAGAGAACTGTGTATGAATGAACCAGAAATACATGATAATATGCAAGACATGAATATTTATGAAAAAATGTTTGCTGTCCAAAGTATTGAACCTGAGACAATTATATCTGAAAAATATGAGATAAGCAATATTCTAGAAATTAAGGAACAGGAGCAGAAAAAAGTTAAGATTTCTTGTATGTCTGAGCAAGAAAGCCAGCATGAAAATTTAGAGCCTATAAAACACAAACAAGGAGTCTCTGTGAATCATGGGATATCTACATTAGAGAATAATACTGAATTAAATCAGATAAAATATTTGCATAAAGACAAGTCAAAAGAAACAATGGCAGAAACTTCTAAATGTGTAAAGAATGAATGTGATTTGAACTCGGATTTTTGTTGGGTTTCTGATGCTAGTTCAGGCACTGTTCAAGATTCATTTATGAATATTGATCAAATGGACATTCCACTTATTGATGCAAATAATTCACAATCAAACTCATTAGATTCAAGAGTTACTGATGGAAGTATACAAAATAAGTATGCAGCATTACTGAAACCATCACATCCTTTAAGTACCTTGCTACTTTCTCGTGCAGAGTCTGTCGAGAGCCAGGGTAGTGGTTCAGTTGGCCGAGATGTTGTCTCTGTTAATAATGCTGCTGTCCTCCAGTACTGGGCTGCAGTTACGAAAGAGAGGAGAAATATCGGAAATTTTGGAGCCATTGCAGATTTTTCTTTAACTGAAGAAAAAAGTATAAAAGCTACAAGTTCAATACCAATTCCTGCAGGTGGTTGCCATGTCAAAGATGGTAAGGAAATAGCAAATTTAGTTAGAAGAGATAACAGTCTTGAAGAGAGCATAGCATATTTTTTAAGCTGCTCACCTGACTCTGTATTTGATGGAATAGATTTTCAGCTACCTTTGGAAGAGGACGAAGAAGATTGGCTTCAAGAACTGGAAGATATTAGAGATGATGGGGCTTTTGACAGTGAATTTGAATTTGGTGAATTGGAATTTGAATCGGATGCTAAAAGTTTCACCTGGGGAGGAGAGCTATCCCAAAAATGTATGGATGAAACACGGGATCACGGAAAAATAATGGAAAGCAGGATTAGAATAAGAGGAAAATCAGATTTGATGAAAATGTCAGAAAATGAAGCACCAAAACAAGGGGGATGGTTCATGGATGGAATTAGGCATACAACAAAAGGATTATATAATCTTCTCTTTTATGGACAGACTCATGGGATTAAGACAGCCGAAAGAATTCCAGTCACAGAAGGTATAGCAGCGACGGAATGGACGAAAGTGACTGATGATGGCATTCGACAGATTGATTCTTTAACAGTTAGTGATAATAACATAAATCTTGAGAAACAATATATGGAGGTTTCTGATAAGCCAGGAGAAAACTTCGCATCCACTCATGCTGTGAGTGATGGGGTCAAACCACAAATTTTATCATCTAATGATAAATCATCCACATGTAGACACACCTCTCAAGGCACATTTAGAGATCAGTGTATACTTGACGAACTTGCAAAAAATCCTGTTTGCATTTCTTCTCAGTCTGCATCAAAAACAGATCACAGTAGACAGGATTCTGTAGCTTCCTTTTCTGGAGGAACATCACCTGAAGAGGATGATATCCTGTTCATGGCCCAAGTTTCTGGAATTTCTCCTCTTGAAGAGAGTGATAAGGCAGCACTCCACCTGCTACTGACAAAGGTTCTGCCATTGGAGTTATTAATGTGTGTACTGAACTGTGCATAATGCTGAGTGTTTGTTGCCAATCCTGCTCAAGAATTTTGTTACCAATATTTTTTTTTTTTTTTACTATTAAGCAGAACTTTTTCAACTCCAACACTTTTAAATAGTCTTACCACTAATTTTAAGGATGTGCATGCTGACATTGATATTATTTAACATACATTAACTCTGTGGTGCCAAGTTTCTGCTTCAGGTTAGTTATATAGCAAAAACTAAACATTGATTGTATGTTGTTGTCTACTTGTTTAGGGTACCATCCTCCTAAGTGAGAATTGCTAACTTAATCCAGAGTTTTAACCAAATTATTCAAAAAGGAAATTGTATAGGGAAAATTGTTATATAAAAATGGAAATATTGAAAGGGGAAATGAGAAAGAGAGTAAGTGGGAGAAGAGTGATAAGAGGTTAACAGTATAATGAATGGAAGAAATGTTAGTCTGGAAATTAGAAAATGACCGAGATAGTATTCTTTGAACAGTGGCTAAGTACTCAAGAGTACAATCAGTGGAAATGAGATTTTTGAGAAAAGCAGCTAGGATAGGTATGTGATATGGACATAGCAGTGAGCGAGTATGAGATTTGTGGTATGAGTGTGAGGGGTGAAGAAATTAAATGTGGAGTGGGTGAAGCACAATGTGTTTAGGTGGTATGGACATGGTAAAATTTCTGAGAATTGTTTAGCAAGAAAGGTGCACAGGGGCAAAATAAGGTAAGGAATAGTAGAGGCAGACAGTATCTTGGAAGGAAAGGGTGGAACAGTACATAAAAGAACGGGTGGGGAAGGGGTTATAGAGCTTGAATGAAAGGGTGGAGAAAGGGTTAATAAGCATAAAAGAGTAAAAGGTCTATGTGGTGATAGGTCATCCTGGACACGTGTAAATCTTGACATAATTGACAAATGATTAAATGAGTCTCTTCACTGCAAATGAAAGATAAAAATATGGATAAAAGTATAAAGTATTTTACAAAGTTTCCATGAACTGTTACTAATAACTCTGTGAAATTTGGAATAAGAGTTACTTGATAATTTGAAGTTTTCATTTTTTGTGAGATAATGAGTGTTTATTAAATATGGATGACAAGGAAAATACTGCACCCAAAGTGGTCTGAAACTTTATTTTGTATAAATATTCTTGGAACCATGATGTCAAATGTTTCAAAACTCTTCATTCTTCTCACCTTTCTCACTTCCCTACAGCTTTGTCTTGCTTAAATGTAAATCTCTTTGTTAAGGTTGTCTTCCTTGAAAACTTCCCCACTTAATTTCTTTTGTTCCTCATATTTTCCGCTAAGATTTAGCACAACAGTACGTATAAGTGCTTTTATTTTCGGGGACCTTAGCAAGAATGTGCTTCAGATTTCAGGTCAGATTTTGACCTTTGTGGAGAATAATTTTGGAGTATAAGCACCGAGATAATTCTGCCTCCTTCCCTTTATCTCGGGGAATGTGGAGCCGATTCCCTTTCAGAGTGGACTACATGGTATAGTCAGTTTTGGGGTACTGACGCTGTATCCAGGATTTGTGCTTGGGAATCACAAAGGGGTCCATCCATAATTATATGATATAAACAAATAATTTTAATTGGTAAAAACCTGATAAAGAATTGCTAACAAATGTCTGCAAGTACATTGGACATAAAAAACCTGGAAATTGAGAAGTAGGTATATGCTGTACACCCAGATACCCTCCGCCCCCCCTCCATTTCCATCACTAGGTGCAGTTCATCTAATTGTGCTTGATATTGTACATAAAGTACATTATACATAGTACTGTATAACTGGGCACTTGATGGCCCAGGAACTGAAGGAGGACTTTCATAATTTAGTCTAAACGTTGTTTTGAAGAGCTGCACAGTGGCTCCTTTCCAGACCTGGTTTCTTTGCTTGTACTCGCTTAATGCTCATCTCATTGCTTATTCAGATGGTTAGTATATAATAAAACTGCATGGATATGTTTTTGAATGGGTTAAATGAGCATGATTAAATAAAGATGAAAACAAGAAGATAGTGTTTACAGGGCAAAGAGTGTCCAACTAGGCCATGCCAGCTCATCAGCCACACATTGAATTAACATGCCAGTCAATATGCTTTCTGGTCTTCTTCAAAGAATTAAAATTGTTTATGCTCAGACAAATTGAAAGCAATGGGCAAGGCCTAGACAATGCCTGAGGTGTGCTTGGATGAGTCCCAAACTATACACAACAAAGCTCTCTGTGCCATCATCACCCCACACCAGTCTCGTTCACTATTGACTGGTTAATTTGTTAAATTTGTTTTTAACCATTCTTACAAGTCATACATAGAACCATACATCTGAAATACCCGATAATACATCTAAAAAATACAAGTGGTATAAATAGGTGGGGGAGAATTAAGTAAAAGAGAAGTGTATGAACAATGCTGGATGGTGGCAAGGTTTGAGATGCGAGATATTGGGAAGTGAATCAGATTAAGATAAATACCTCATGAGGAGTTGGACATCTAAATATTATTAATACAGTGTAATATTAATTTAGTAATGGTAAAGTCCTCTCACAGAAATAATGACACAGGATAAAAACCTACACTTGTTTATTTGTGAAATATATGAAAGGAATTTACAGTCTTTCACACTCTCCTGAGTGCTTTATCAAGGTCCGAGTGTGTGATTAAGATGAGACTTACAGCTCAACGTCTATTGAATATCATCGATAATAATAATAAGAAAATCCACTTGGGCTGTGAGGTGGCGCGAACCTTCCACCTGAGTGCTTGTAGGTCATACATAAAAACTTCAGTAGAAGCCTCCAGACTTCCTGTGATTTCAGTAGAAATCTGGTTGTATGACTTTTATAAGTCAGCGGTGGTAGAGTACATGGCTGGCAATGCCTTGGTCGTAGGTTCGTGCCTCTTCACAACCCTAGTGGATTTTGTCACTGATATACTGTATACTGTATCACATTAATGTGATTTGTGTGTATCAATAATAATAATAATAATTAATAATAATTATAATTCATAATAATTATAATTAATAATTATATACTGTATAATTATATTATAATTAATAATGATGAAATTATAGATATGATTATATAGTAGGGTACATTATTTGTAATTTTTATAAAGCCACATATCACACACACTATTTTGACTATAAAGAAATGGTTGTTAATCAACTTGTAAGGAAAAAATCCCCAAGTGTGGAACTGTACAGAGAGTTAGTTATGAGAAACATCTACTTCATGGAAAAAAAATATTAAGGTATATGACACTCGAGAATATCAGTTGGATACATGGCCAACTGGAGGCTTTTCCACCTTCGCTGCCTGCCCACCTTCCCAGAATGGGGTTTCCAGAGGGTAAACTAAGTGATAAATAAATAAGAATTGGTCATGGTCATAGTCAAAGAAGAATGGATCATAAAAAGTTAATAATATAGAACAGTGGATCATAGTATGACAGTGCATTAATAAGTTATGAGTGGGATATTTGCCAGTCATGAAATTTGGTCACATGTTTAAGTTATAAGGTGAATAACCAATAAACTCAAACAAAATTCTATTTTAGAAGGCATTTTTGACAAAGGAAGGAATGAGTAGGAGATGTAGATTGGGAAAAATTAAGATTTTGTAAAGTTTCCCATTATATTAGTAGGCCTACATCTGAAGGTAATGGAATCTTAAGGTTGCTTTGTGGAATGTGACTTGACAGTGTGATTAGTTATGCCACTTTTATGCAAAATAACATCCTGCTATCCCTGCTGAGCCTTGGAATAATTAATCAGTCTTCAATGTTACAATTTGAGTGTTTCACTGCTTTGTTGATTTTTGTTTGTAATTAAAGAAAGGCTTGAATGAACAAAAAAGGTATTAATAATAGTCAAAAGTGAACATTGCAGGAAATGGAGAAGCATAATTGATAATGATAGGAATTTTGTGTTTTTGTGAAAGTTTGGTTGACATGGTTGAATAAGAATGTTCTCTATCTTCTTGTTAATTAATACTTGTTTTGCTTGACTTTTATATTGATGCTTGTAGATTTGTGTGTGCGCACCTAATCATAACCCATCCTAAATTTGAAATTATATTCAATTGTAAGTTCATAATTATTTTCATAATTAATAAATTGAGTTTGCTACATTATTAAGAAAAAGTGAGAAGAAAAACAATGAGCATAGACTGCTGTAAATATTATTTAAGCTTATAGATGTTACTTGGATAGTAAGTTGAACTCAATACATATTTTGGCTTATCTTTATTTGATCATTCTGTATGTTTTATTCATATCTTGGCCCTTAGAATTTTATAGGTTTTATTTCCCCTTTTCATATTTTGTTTCATTTGCAATAATCATTAAATTTAGGAACCTTAATACATTCTCTGTACCTCAGCGTCCTTCATCTCGACATGAAGAACTTAAAGAGCGAGCAAGACATTTATTAGAACAGGCCAGACGAGAAGCTCAGAGTCGTCCTGGACCTCAGCGATCTCTCTCAAAGGTACACTGCTATTTTATTTGTTCTGTTTATTGCTTTGAGTAAATTTACATATGAATTTTGTGTACAAATTATTTACCCTTAAGAAAATCTTGATTAAAATTTTCCTGGTCTTCTAGGAAGAAGAAGAGCGGCAAGCACAACTTCGGGAGCGTGCACGTCGCCTCATAGCTGAAGCCAAACAGGGAGTGGTCTCTCCTCCCTTGATGAAATCTGCTTCCCACAGTCATTCTCATGACCACTCTCATGGTATATTGACATTTTATTCCTTAATGTAAATGATTATATTCATTTTGTTATAATTACTGATTTGCCACTCTTTCTATTGCAACAGTTAAGAACCTAGCATTTCCTGATTTGTTAGTACAGTGGCACCTCGATTGCCCCGACTTATGATAATTTCGAGTTATGGTACATTAAGAGCTTTGTTTTCCAGCTTTGCCTCATATTGATCTGATTTTCTGGGGGGGGGGAGTCCCTTCAGTTCCCCGGAGCTATCCAGGCTGATATTTAATATATTAGACTTTTGCATCAGTCAGTGTGAATGGAGTTCATAGGCCTACCTGGGACCACGAACCAGAACCTGGCCCCCTCAGAGAGGCACAAGGAGCAATGACCTATAGAATAGCACAAGTGATTTGGAGCATTCTATGTCTGCCATTGACAGGGTCAGGCACCCAGAAAGGTAAGCATCACAAAAGAAACCCCTATTCTGGTTGAAACTACTACTGAAATTCAAAAGAGGAGTAGACAGAACTCCTCAAAGAAAAAAAAAGCAAACGAGCATGATGTCACCACTTGCCGCGCCGCCGTCTGCACAGCTCCTCCCTCCCTCCCCGGGAGGGGAGAGGGGAAGCCCCAGACCCCTCGTGCCGGCAACCCACACCTTCAGTTCTTTGGCTGATGTGAATGGTATTGGTTGCTGTGGCTCTGGCTCCTGATTTGTCCTCTGCTCTGTGCCTTGTGGTGTGGGGCGAGCCTTCTCCGATGACACGTGAGCCAGGAGTAATTTGGTTCCCAGACATTCTTGGTTTCAGGTGCTTCTTGCTCGGTGTCCGCACCCAGGGGTTTTCCCATGGCTCCACTTCTTTCAGATGCTCGGTCCGGTCCGTTACGTGGCTGGTTCGGTCTTCTCCTCGAGTCTTCACGTCTGGTAATTTTGACTCGAGTCTATTGCCATCTGTTTGATGATCAGGTGGCTTCGTTGAGGGTGTCCACCTGGGTGCTTCGTCTCGGTGAGAGTATGTGGTATACTGGTGGTCCTTCCTTTTTCTTTTTTTCATTTCGTAGATATACTGCAAATTTTGTTGAGGGTGTCTTGTTCTTTCTCTTGTGGCTGTTCAGGACTGTCATCTTGTGCCGCATACTGGACGCGCTTTTGGTTGACCCGGGTTCCCTTCGTCCCTGTTCCAGGGTTCGGGTCTCCCAGGTCGTCCATGGGGTCATTTAGTGTTGCCAATTGTCTTGCTTTCGAGTTTCGGGCACGTGGTTTCCACCTCTCGGGTTTGCCCCTCTATTGTCCTTGTCTTTGGGTAGATAGCTCTGGGAAGCTAAAGGGGGCGCCCCCAGAAAACCAGCGTTGAATGTAATAAAACGCCATTTTCTGGGTGAAACCCAGAGGCTCCCCAGCATCTTTCTCTCCCACCGGTCGGCGGCTCTTTTGCGTGTTTTGACATCCAGCCTGTGAACTGCAGGTGTGGGTTGCTAGTGTGAGGAATCTGGGGCTCCCCCTTCCCTCTCCCGGGGAGGGGGGAGCTGTGCAGATGGCGGCTTGGCGAGTGGTGATGCCATGCTTGTTTGCTTATTTTTCTTTGGGGAGTTCTGTCCACTCATTTGACTTTCAGTAGTAGTTTCAACCAGAATAGTGGTTTGTTTCATGATACTTACCTGTCTGGGTGCCTGACCCTGTCGATGGCAGACATAGAATGCTCCAAATCACTTGTGCTATTCTATAAGCCATTGCTCCTTGTGCCTCTCTGAGGGGGGCCAGGTTCTGGCTCATGATCTCTGGTAGGCCTGGGAACCCCATTCACACTGATGCCAAAGTCTAATATATTACACAGCCTGGATAGCTCCGGGAAGTCTCTGGGTCTCACCCACAAAATGGCATTTCATTACAATCAACGCTGGTTTTCTGTGGGGAGCCCCTACGACTCCCTGGAGCTTATCGGGCTAATGTACTTTATATTAGACCGGATCATTAGCTATGGAGTTCAGACCTTCCAGGGACCAGAGCTGGAACCTGGCCCCTTCAGAGAGGTTCCAGGGAGCAGTGGCCCTGGAAAACCCCCTTGTGGTTGGGGGTTTTCCTTATCTGCCATCGACCAGGGTTAGGCACCCAAAAAGGTAGGCATAACAAAACAAATCCCACATGGTAAGAAACTAAAACAAAAAAACGAACAGAGGGGTAGAAACTCCCTACAATCCCAAGGAAACAAGCAAACAAGCAAACATCACACTTTACTGCCGCGCCGCTCATCCACGCAGCCCTCCCCTCCCCCGAGAGGGGGAGGGGGGCCCCGGGCCTCACCGTGCCGACTGCCTAGCACTCCAGTTCATAAGCTAATGTCAACCGGGACAGACGCTTCTCTGACTTCAGTTTCCTAGGCGGTGTTTGCCTTCGTGGCGATCACTGCCGTGTTTTGTTATGTGCAGTGGCCAGGTGTTCCTCATCAGTACTGGGGCTGCATGCGCTTAGGGGCTTCCTTCCTTAAGTGCCTTGTGAGTACTGCCCCTGCATGTCAGGGTTATCTTCTCTGGGGTGTTCGGGAACCATTCCCGTAGAGGTTCTTGCTGCTTGGCATTTGCCTCGCCCCTGGGGCCAGCTGGGGCTTGGGGCCCTTGATTGGCCTTGGGGTTGGGACTGGTATTATGCTGGTTAGAGCGTCAAGGTGTTGTGCAACCTTCTACCTACGTGGCGACCAGTTCCTGTTGCTTCTGGAGACGGTGTACTTTTGCGGGGTTTTTCTTTTGTTTTTATTTTACTTTGCCTGGTAGTGGTACTTTGGTATTTTGCCTAGGCTATTGCTCCAAGCAACAGCCTAGTAGACCAAACTCTCACAAGTCAAGCCTGGCCTCGGGCCGGGCTTGGGGAGTAGAAGAACTCCCAGAACCCCATCAACCAGGTATCAACCTGGTGGTTGATGGATTGGTAGATTCAAATAAAAACCTGGTGGTTTTTATTTTTTGCCTGGTGGTGGTACTCTGGTACTTTGCCTAGGCTGTTGCTCCAAGCAACAGCCTGGTGGACCAAACTCTCACAAGTCAAGCCTGGCCTCGGGCCGGGCTTGGGGAGTAGAACTCCCAGAACCCCATCAACCAGGTAACTAGGTCTGCCTGGTAATTACCTAAGTGTAATTACCTAAGTGTAGTTACAGGATGAGAGCTACACTTGTGGTGTCCCGTCTTCCCAGCACTCTTTGTCATATAATGCTTTGAAACTACTGACGGTCTTGGCCTCCGCCACCTTCTCCCCTAACTTGTTCCAACCGTCTACCACTCTGTTTGCGAAAGTGAATTTTCTTATATTTCTTCGGCATCTGTGTTTAGCTAGTTTATATCTATGACCTCTTGTTCTTAAAGTTCCAGGTCTCAGGAAATCTTCCCTATCGATTTTATCAATTCCTGTTACTATTTTGTATGTAGTGATCATATCACCTCTTTTTCTTCTGTCTTCTAGTTTTGGCATATTTAATGCCTCTAACCTCTCCTCATAGCTCTTGCCCTTCAGTTCTGGGAGCCACTTAGTAGCATGTCTTTGCACCTTTTCCAGTTTGTTGATGTGCTTCTTAAGATATGGGCACCACACAACTGCTGCATATTCTAGCTTTGGCCTAACAAAAGTCGTGAACAATTTCTTTAGTATATCGCCATCCATGTATTTAAAAGCAATTCTGAAGTTAGAAAGCGTGGCATAGGCTCCTCGCACAAAAAAAAAAAAAAAAAAAAAAAAAAATATTCTTTGTGGTCCTCAGGTGATAGTTTTCTATCTAGAACCACCCCTAGATCTCTTTCTTTATCAGAATTCTTTAAAGATTTCTCACATAATATATAGGTTGTGTGGAGTCTATGTTCTCCTATTCCACATTCCATAACATGGCATTTATTAACATTAAATTCCATTTGCCAAGTGGCGCTCCATGTACTTATTTCGTCCAGGTCTTCTTGAAGGGCATGACAATCATCTAAGTTTCTTATCCTTCTATTATCTTAGCATCATCAGCAAACATGTTCATATAATTCTGTATACCAACTGGTAGATCATTTATGTAGACAATAAACATTACTGGTGCAAGAACTGAACCCTGTGGTACTCCACTTGACATGTGGTGTGACTATAGTTCCGCTGGTAGTGTTTGGTGGCCCTCTGCTAGGCCCCCCCCTGATTGTATATGTTGCAGGGGTTTTCAGTGCTACCCCTTGTTAGTTTTGGGTGTTAACCGGTTAGCAACACCTTGCCTGGGTTTCCTGTAGCAGTCAGCCTACGGGCCTTGGAAAACCCTGTCGGGGCTCGGTTGACCACTGGATGTTTCTTTCGGGTTCCATCCCGCCTTGTGCGGGTTTGTTGGTTGCTGTGCCCTTGTCTCAGGGTGACAGTCACCTCTTTTATCTCCGTCATGCTGCCTGTTGGGTCACTGACACCTTGACCAGGAGTCTTGCGAGATGTGTTCTCTACTTGTTCTCCAGTATTCTTCTGATGTCCTTACAGTTCACAGTACAGGTGGCATCAGTATTACAAGCTTGGTTTAGGTTGCTGCGACACACTAGGTTGGTTTCCCACCTGGATGCTCTGGGGCCATGCCGTTTTGGTTAGGTGGTGTTTGCCCCTTTCCCTTCCCTGTTCCCGGCTCCTGACCATCTGCGGGTTTCGGGGTCAGGGCGGGGTTTAGTTGGTGCCGAGACTCGGGCGGTTTTGGGGGCTGCCCCGTTCGAGTTGGGGACGGAGGTTTTCGAGCCTGATCCTCCTGCCGAGGCTTCTGGGTCTTACCAGTGGCCCTTTCTTTGCTGCCTTTCCTCTGGAATCTTCCTTTTCTTTAAAGGCAGAGGGCGTGGAGGACGGCTTTGCCCCGGGGCCTTCCGTTACAGGTTCCCGGGGCTGTGTGGGATGCCCGCTAGCAGTTCTGAGGCTTTTTGCTCCTGCCTGAGTTTTCTGTTTCAGGGTGAGGTTTTTAGTCCCTCTCGTCTGCTTACTTCCCACATTTGCTGGTGTGTTTTCGGATCAATTGCATTGGTCATGGCTCCTTGTTCTGGTGGCCATTTTCTTTCTGCGGGTTTCCCCGCTTGGCCACCAGGGCGGCACTGCGGTTTGTTTACATGTGCCTGGGTGTGCGAGCTTGCATTTTTGGGGGAGTTTTTCACCTTCTTCAGAGGTTTTATCCTCCTGTTGCCATTTCTTTGCTTTTTCTGGGGTGTTCAGTCCTCCTCCTGTTCCTCTGGGAGTGCTTGGGCCAGGGCCATTGCTCCCTGAAACTTCTCTGATGGGGCCAGGTTCCGGCTCTGGTCCCTGGTAGGTCTGAACTCCATAGCTAATGTCCCGGTCTAATATAAGGTACTTTAGCCTGATAAGCTCCAGGGAGACTCCGGGGCTCACCCAGAAAATGACGTTTCATTACATTCAATGCTGGTTTTTTGGTGATGGATAGAGACCTCTCCACTGTCTCCCACCTCAGTGTGTGTTGCCAAAGCATTAGCAGCAAATATCTGTGCCATGTTAAGGAAACAGGTCGACAGAGCCTTGCATGTTTTAAGTTCTGAGTGGACCATATGGGTGCTGGGCCCTACTTTAAATTATTGTTGAATTTTGTTGTTTGTTGTTTAAATGAAACATAAGAGAGGTACAGTATAAAGGTGCAGAATTGTAAAATAATTTTTTTTCTTTGCAGATGATGATGATGATGTTGATGTGAATGAAGAATATCCTGTAGGAACAGTCTCATCTGGCAGTGAGGTATGAAGCTTCAATGGTTTTATGCATTCATTGGAATTATTTTTTACATAGCTATTATATTTTTGTACATCTATACTATTTTCTGAGAAATACTAGTCAGTTGCTCTCTTAGGCATTTTCCTTCTCTCTCAGGGACCAGGACCATACAATAGGTAGATGAGGTCAACATTTATTTCCTGTTGCAGCAGGAGTAATGTCAAGCGTCTCTACTTCATCGTTGTTTATTAAGGGGAACATAGGAGAGAAAACTCTCACACTCCAGAATAGCCTTCAGAAGGTTGATTTATCTGTTTATTTTTATTTATTCATTTTTATATACTGTACAGGAGTTCTTACATTCTTGTAAAGCCACTAACATGCATAGCATTTCGGGTAGGTCCTTTACCACTGCACTGTGCAGAGCGCCTTGTGGCGCTGGATCGAGGGTGCTCAGAGCGTCATGTGGCATTTTTAGGTATAGGGAGCAATTCAAAACTCTTGTGGATACACAGGGCTCACATCCTGTGTCTCAGGACTTCTGTAAACAGATGCTATCTTGAAAAAAATATTTCAGCATCTTTGCTGGCTGTAAGAGCGTTAGTACTGATTGAGCGACCAAGGCTGGCACATGCAGGAGCCACGCACAGCACTGTTGTACATGCTAGGGAACACAGCACCACTTAGTAATGATGTATAAAATAGGTATTTGAAATTATTTTGCATTGATAGTGTTATAGATGATCTTGACTGTCATAAAGACTATTTACAATGTTCAGATATCGGTGAACACAACGTTAGTTACGATATTCACAGCATGAGGTAGAGACACACACGGCACCTTGTAATTACCTAAGTGTAATTACCTAAGTGTAGTTACAGGATGAGAGCTACGCTCGTGGTGTCCCGTCTTCCCAGCACTCTTTGTCATATAACGCTTTGAAACTACTGACGGTCTTGGCCTCCACCACCTTCTCACTTAACTTGTTCCAACCGTCTACCACTCTATTTGCGAAGGTGAATTTTCTTATATTTCTTCGGCATCTGTGTTTAGCTAGTTTAAATCTATGGCCTCTTGTTCTTGAAGTTCCAGGTCTCAGGAAGTCTTCCCTGTCGATTTTATCAATTCCTGTTACTATTTTGTACGTAGTGATCATATCACCTCTTTTTCTTCTGTCTTCTAGTTTTGGCATATTTAATGCTTCTAACCTCTCCTCGTAGCTCTTGCCCTTCAGTTCTGGGAGCCACTTAGTAGCATGTCTTTGCACCTTTTCCAGTTTGTTGATGTGCTTCTTAAGATATGGGCACCACACAACAGCTGCATATTCTAGCTTTGGCCTAACAAAAGTCATGAACAACTTCTTTAGTATATCGCCATCCATGTATTTAAATGCAATTCTGAAGTTAGAAAGCATTGCATAGGCTCCTTGCACAATATTCTTAATGTGGTCCTCAGGTGATAGTTTTCTATCTAGAACCACTCCTAGATCTCTTTCTTTATCAGAATTCTTTAAAGATTTCTCACATAATATATAGGTTGTGTGGGGTCTATGTTCTCCTATTCCACATTCCATAACATGACATTTATTAACATTAAATTCCATTTGCCAAGTGGTGCTCCATATACTTATTTTGTCCAGGTCTTCTTGAAGGGCATGACAATCATCTAAATTTCTTATCCTTCCTATTATCTTAGCATCATCAGCAAACATGTTCATATAATTCTGTATACCAACTGGTAGATCATTTATGTACACAATAAACATCACTGGTGCAAGAACTGAACCCTGTGGTACTCCACTTGTGACATTTCTCCATTCCGATACATTGCCTCTGATTACTGCCCTCATTTTTCTATCAGTCAGAAAATTTTTCATCCATGATAGAAGCTTACCTGTCACCCCTCCAATATTTTCCAGTTTCCAGAACAACCTCTTATGTGGAACTCTGTCGAAAGCCTTTTTTAGGTCCAGATAGATGCAGTCAACCCAGCCATCTCTTTCCTGTAATATCTCTGTGGCCCGATCATAGAAACTGAGTAAATTCGATACACAGGATCTTCCTGATCGAAAACCATACTGTCTGTCTGATATTATATCATTTCTCTCCAGGTGTTCTACCCATTTAGTTTTGATTAGCTTTTCCAATACTTTCACTATTACACTTGTCAATGATACAGGTCTATAATTGAGGGGGTCTTCCCTGCTGCCACTTTTGTAGATTGGAACTATGTTAGCCTGTTTCCACACGTCTGCTACGATTCCTGTACACAGGGATGCCTGAAAGATCAGGTGAAGTGGAATGCTGAGCTCAGATGCACATTCTCTCAGAACCCATGGTGAAACGCCATCTGGGCCAGCTGCTTTGTTCCTCCCGAGCTCCTTTAGCATATTTTCCACTTCATCTCTAGACACCTCTATCCGCTCTATGTTGTTCTCTGGAATTCTTATTGTGTCTGGTTCTCTGAAGATTTCATTTTGTACAAACACACTTTGGAACTTTTCATTTAATGTTTCACACATTTCCTTTTCATTTTCCGTGAATCTGTTTCCCATTTCCAACCTCTGGATATTATCCTTTACCTGCAATTTGTTGTTTATGAATTTGTAGAATAGGCCCGGTTCTGTTTTACATTTATCTGCTATCCCTTTTTCAAAATTTCTTTCTGCCTCTCTCCTTACTGCTGTATAATTGTTTCTCGCATCTTTGTATCGCTGGTATGTTTGGGGGTTTGGCCTCTTCCTATACTGATTCCATTTTTGTGTCTTTTGGTCTCTTGCCCTCTCACAATTTCTGTCGAACCAATCCTGTTTTCTGGTCCTGCATCTCTGTTTTGGTATAAATTTTTTTGTGCCTTTATCATATATTTCACAAAACTTGCCATACATCTCATTCACTTCCTTGCCTAGCATCAAGTCTGTCCAATTATACTCACTAAAAAAATTTCTAAGGTCACCATAATGTCCTCTCCTGAAGTCTGGTTTTTCAACTGCTTCAACCTCCTTATTTTCTTCCAGCTTATAACGCATTGCATACTTTATTCCCAAAAAGACATGGTCACTTTTACCCAAGGGAGGAAGGTACTGAATGTCAAATATCTCTTCCTCCTTCCTGGTAAATATCAAATCTAGCATGGAGGGAACGTCCCCTTCCCTCATCCTCGTAGCTTGTTTAACATGTTGATACAAGAATGTTTCCAGGATGAGGTCTACAAATTTACAGGTCCAAAAATCTTCTGTTTTAGCTTCATATGCTTCCCAGTCTATGGATTTCAAGTTGAAGTCACCGACTATCAACAGTCGTGATCTATCGTTATCCGCTCTCGCTATAATCTCTCTCATTATTGTTATAAGACCTTCACGTTTACTATCTAGCTCCTCCTTTGACCATGTGCTGCTTGGCGGTGGACTATATGCATTTATCATCATTAGTTTATCATCCTCATAGCAGATCTCTAGTGCTATTATGTCAACTTCTTGTGGATTGGCAGTCATTATTTCCTTCACCTTTAGGTGTTCTTTTACCAGCACAGCAACGCCACCGCCTTTCCTAATTTTTCTGTCCCGTCTCCAAATTGAGTAGCCCCTTGGGAATATGACCTCATTTAAAATTACATCTTCAAGTTTTGTCTCCGTGAGTGCAACAATGTCTGGTGTCTGCAGCTGTATTACATCACTTAACTCCAGTATCTTCGATCTCACTCCATCTATGTTGGTGTATGCAATCTTCAGGAACTTGTTCCCCCTCTCCTTATTCTTCACTCCCCCTCTCTCTATTGATTTTGTTGGTTTGCCTTTATGTACCACTTTACTGGTTTGCCTACCCCTATCACTTTGTAGAAAAAAGAATTTATTTCTTCTTCATTCCTGCTCTCATTTAAATGTTTTGCCTCGGCGAGGTTCAGTTTCAGCTTCTCTCTATCTTCTTTTGAAAGATCTCGTCTTAACGACCACCCTTTCCCATCCTCATCCCTTTGCAATTTTCTAGCATTCCTTAGTACTTCTTCCATCTGTTTGGCACCGTTTAGGGTGATCCTCAAAGGTCGATCTTTCCCTTTTACGTACCTGCCTATTCTCCTGTAGTCGCACACATTCTCTCTGTTTGTAAGACCTTCCACGAGGCCAACAATTTTATCTACTACTTTAGCTTCTTCTACAGCTCTTTCTGACCTAGATGTTATCGCCTTTTCTTTGCAGCCAAAAATGATCAGGGACTTACTCCGATCAACTGTGTTTTGCACCAACTTCGGGTTAGATGCCAATTCTTTCCTCACTTCTAGCCTAATGTTTGTTTTATCTTGGTTGCTGCAGTGTTTGACTTCCTTTACTGCTTCTTCTATTTTTTCCTTCTCCTTGGCCACTTGTGCATAAGTGAGTTGCATATCTTTCTTGCACTGTTCTATTCCCTGTGTAACTTCCTCCATCTGTGCTGACAAAAGCTGTTTCTCCTGTTGAATTTCCTTGCCTAACCTATTGTAGTCATTTATGTTTAAATTTACTTTAACTTCTTCCAAAGCTATTTTTAAGAGTTTATTTTCTTCTTCCATGGCTTTGCAATTTGTTTCCAATTGATTCTTATCCTTGCGCAAGTCTTTCACTAAACCCTCAAGACATAAAACTTTGCTATTCAAATGGTCATTACTTTCTTTCAATTTACTAATTATTTCTACATGAGAGTTCACTATAGTATCTAAATTTACCAACTTGTTATGTAGACTACTAATATCAATGCTTTCTTCATTGAATCCCTCAAAATCAAGCTCTGTTTTGTTTTTCCCCTTGCCAGTGGCCATCTTGAATGTTCTTCTCTGCACTGTAAACACTAGGGCAACTTTTTCTCATCCGATTCTTCACTTCCCTTAGCACTTTCCTGTTATCTCACCTATTTTTCAAGAGCACTATACCTTTATGTTCTATTAATGGAAATAAAAATAATCCGTTCCTCCACCAAAAAGCATCGATATGATATTCAATTTTTTAAATAATGGAGCAGCCTATCTGACATACACTGAATGATCCTGTATGACATTTGTCTTGTTTCAATTTTTTTCATTTTTTTTTTTTTTTTTTTTTTAGAAAATGGAGCAGCCTACCTGATAATCACTGAATGAACCTTTATGACTTTTTTATCAAATTCCTTCAATTTCTTTTTTTTTTTAGAAAATGGAGCAGCCTACCTGACAATCACTGAACGAACCTTTATGACTTTTTTCTTTTTTTTTCAAATTCTTTCAATTTTTTTTATTTTTCATTTTTTCAGAATGTAGCAACCTACCTGACATTCACTGAACGAACCTTTTTGACATTTTTCTTTTTTTTCAAATTCTTTCAATTTTTTTTATTTTTCATTTTTTCAGAATGTAGCAGCCTACCTGACATTCACTGAACGAACCTTTTTGACATTTTTTATTTTTCAAATTTTTCAATTTTTTTCTAATTTTGTCTAAAAAACAAAAATCAATTCTTTGCAACATTACAGCAGTCACCCCTTTACATCCCAGCATCATTAGCATCTTTAAAAAAAAAAAAAAAAAACTTATTTGCATCACCAGAAAGACTTCAACAAATATAGTCTAAAGCTGTTCCTTTGTTCATGTCCCACCCATGCCAAATAGTCCGTTCTTGTATAACCTGTCTATTCCCCTGAGAATTTCCTGATTTTTTTCTTTCAGTGACCTTGGGTATAATTCCCCTAGTCTTCCCTTATAACTCATATCTCTCAGCTCTGGTAATAGTCAGATAACATACCTCTAGACCTTCTCTAGCTCTGTTTAGTGTTTAATTAGATAAGGACTCTATGGTTCTAAACTCTTCACAGCCTGGGATTACCAACTCCTTGACTCTCAAGTCTTGTCTGACCAGCAAGGGCCATTGCCATTTGTCCTCTTCAATTCATATAATGCTGACCACCTCTTCAACAACTACCAATACTATTACAACCTTGGTCACAGCTACAGTGACAATGGCATCCACTAAAGTATCATAAGAAAGAGGTTAATAGATAATCTAAAGAGATGGGCATTTTTGACACAACACCAGCATGGGGTCAAGAATAGCAAATTCTGCCTCACAAACCTAATAGTGACACAAATCAGACAGGGCACGGAAAGATATGCAGACTGCATATATGTCTAGGTTGTTGAGAAAGTTTTCACTACAGTACTACATATGAAACTAGTGTACAATTTGGAGAAAATTGTCATCTGAGTAGACATATGTTACTAGTGTGGATTTCACAGTGGTCTGTATTAAGTCCTATCATTTTCATGAGCTACTGTATGTGAATTATGAGTATACATAATTAGGAAGACTGCAATAACCTACAGTAAGACTTTGACAAATTGAATGTCGTCGACTAACTGAAAGAATGGTATAAGAAGTATCTACCAGAGTATAACTCCAGCAAGTGCACAGTAATGGATGGGCACTGGGAATGGGTGGAGCCATCCTAGAGTTGGATAGCGTAAAAGATCTGCAAGCTAACAGTCACACTGAACCTGTCTCCTGAGATATACCTTAACTGGACAACATCAACTGCATAAGCAAGGTTAACCAACATAACAAAATTTTTTTAAGAACTTGAATGAGAAATCATTCAGGATAAAGCATGTGTCAGAAAAATTATGAAATACGCTGTACCATTATGGAATATGCATGTTTTCCAACACAAAATGTAGTTGAAGAAACTTGAGAGGTATGCCACCAGACAAAAACAAGAGCTAAGAGAAACGAGTTTTGAGGAACGACTTAATGAACTAAACCATGCATTGGAACGAAGAAGAAATGGGGAGAACATGATCATGACAAAATATTTATAAAAAATTGATAGGATAAACAAGGATAGATGATTTGAAATAGGAGGGACTTGGACAATGGAACACAGGTGGAAACTGTACTTGAATAAGCCACAGAAAAGTTAAAAAGAGCTTTGTTAGTATCCGAGTAATAACTAAATGAAATGAATGGATTGAAGTGTGAATTTGACAGGACTTAATGGGTTCAGGAACTTGTACAGCAGTTGAGAGGTGAGACTTAGAGCTGATGCTTAGCTCCCATAAACACAGTTAGGTGAGAACCAAATTATGTTCATTATAACAACTTGTACTCATCCCATCTACCATGATGTACCAGCTCATTGTAGCATCCTACTCAAAACCTTTTTTAAATTCATTATACTCCCTGTACTCATTACAGCATTTTGTATTCATAACACTTCTTGCATTTATTACACCACCCTGTTCTTATCCAGAGATATGCCGGCTCTGGTATTCCTTTCTTTGAGCACCCTCGGGCGGTTGAAACATATCTACAACAGTCAATTGAGCTTCCTAGATACATTTCTAAACTGCTTAGCTTTTATTCTATTGTTGATTTTTTTGGTACACCATGCACTTTTATGAGAAGAAAGGTATTATTTATTATCCTCAGCCCTGTATACAGAATATTCCTGAGTTAGATATTCGATTATGAAATTAGTGTTAGGTCTGAGCTACGGTGTTAAATATTAATACAGTACTCCTGAAGCAGAAAATTGAATTGAAAGATAGTGAAGAAATATATTAGTGTTTTATATGACCTGTTAACTCTTCTAATTAAATATGGATTACATTTCAGGAAAATGGCAATATTATCTCGACATCTATTAGAGACGAAAGAAAAATGGCTTTAAGCAGTTGTACAAGTGTAGGTACAACAACCAGTACATCCTCCAGCACAGTGTTAGCACCCTCTGCCTTCCCTACCACCATGTCTCCAGTTGAAGTACAATCCTCATCTGCCTTGCCACCAACGTGGAACACAGGAGGAACTATAGGTGGTAACAATGAGGGTGTTAGAGAATTTCGAGCTCCCAAGCTACAATCATTTAAAAATATTATGGATAGAATGTCTCCTGATAAAGAAAGCACACTGCATTCTCCAAGAGCCTCTCCAGATAAGGTACATCCTGCACTATTATTCATTTATTCAGCTCTTAATTTTTCTTTTATAATTTCTTTGCCATCTTCAAATGATTTCTGGCAATATAATTTATACAAAATTATAGCAAACTTCACATGAACGTTCTGGTGTCACAATTTGCATCACTTATTGAGGTGGCACTATATGCTTGCTTGGCATGTCTTCCAACACTTTTTGTCTCACCTGTCTTGTCTCAATTAAAGTGGTCATGTCTTTCCTCGCTTGACGCTTCTGGGATTGTCACTTGATGCCTAATAATGTTGCCTCTTATTGTTCGGCTTTGGCAGATCCTCTCTTCTGTGCTCAGGTCTCCTTTTGCCTTTGGCTGGTACATATAACACCTGAATTTTCCTGGTCATTTATTCGGGTATTATTTTTCTACTACTTCCCTTAGTTTTGGGTAACTTTCTCTACTATTTCTTTAACATGGCTGTGGTGTTTGGATGAGCATCATGTTCCTGATGTGCTTCATTCCTTTCCTGAGCCCTGGGCATTTGCCTACTACTCCCATGGTAAGCCCTCTACATATTTCTGTTGTTATTTTACTAATGTTTACTTTTCAAGAAAGTCATCGTTCAACACCTCGATGCTTTTTATTTTTTCTGGGAGCACTCCTACAATGGCTCCCTGTTGCTAACAACCTGGATTATGCTTCTGATCGGCATTGCTCTTATGTGTGAAAAAAGATTGCATTTGTTTGGAGTTTTTCATGCCTACTCTTTGATTGTTTGCTGCTCTGATGCTGCTGCTTGGAGACATGTTGCCTGCTTTGCCAGCTCTTAGACCCATGATGGGTGGTCCTTCCAGGTGGTATCCCAGAGGTGGTCCTCAGTCTATCCTTCGGTGTCAGATGTCCAGGGCCAGCAGTATACTCCACAGCTCCTCAGTCATTGTGGAGTGGTTTAGATCCTGTAGTATTTGACTTAACTCCCTCTCTGTGGCGGGTGTCATGTTTGCTCTTAGTCCAAGCAAGACATTCTTGACCTTTCAGATTTGAAGCACTTCATTCCCTGTCCAACCTTCTGCATGACCATTTTTTTGGCAGGTGCACTTAATGTTGCAGATGGTTTCCTGGATGGTGTTATTTGATCTTAGAGTACATCTATTGGCATGTGCCTATTCATCCCCAGTTTAGGGACTGGTTAGGTTTTTGGGCGAGATGTTCAGCTTACCACTTTCGAGTCCTTCTGTTCAGCTTGAATCTGCTTCCCTGGATGTTCACTAGGTTCACAGATGTGATGGTTTGTTACCATTGTTGGAGGTTCATGTCTTAACCAATCTCAGTGACTTGCCTGGTTGGGCTTGATCTGGGATTTCTGGTTGGCTTACCTCTCCCTTCCGCTTGTGGCTCTGCTACGTCTAGACATGCATCTCTGGCTGGTGGTGAAGAGTTCTTGGGTCACTCGTTATTGGCTTGATTGGTTGTGAGGGAGTCTGAATCTTGCCTGTGTGGTTTAATACAGTGGTACCTCGCATAACGAATTTAATCCGTTCCATGTTCGTCATGTGAAACGGACGTCATACAAAACGAGTGTCCCCCATGTAACCAGTGTGATGCACTGTGTTTATTGTGAAATTCCCCCAGTGTGCATGACATCAAATGTTCCCCAAAATATCATTTTTCTTTGCAAAATGATAAATTACCGTCCCTGAACATGTCTATGTAAAAATAATTACCAAATTCCACTTACTTTGGCTGTGAGGGCGTGGACAAGGTGCGCTGTGACGTCATCAGGGCCTGGTCGCCCGTGTGTGAAGCTCCCAGACACGGTCGCGCAGGCCATTCAAGCACCGCGTGTTGCCACAAATATATTTTCAAATATTTTTTCTATGCATTTCCAATGCGGTTTTATTTGTTTCTTTTATCGTATATGATGCATATTTGTGACCTTTACAATATGTATACAGTAGAATGTTCATAATTTTCCATGAAACTGTGATACATGTGTCAGTAATGTGTCCACAATAAATGTTTATTGTCACAATATTACGTGGTAAAAATTCACTAAAATTACAATATGTACAGTTTCACATACTATTTACACAGTAACACACTGTATTACACACTCAGTACTTTGGAGGTGCGTAATAGTCAACGAAGTAGTCCATGGTACACAGCGCGACTTTGCTCTCCTTGCACCAGCTACAGATAGATTTTCGTTTCCTGTTTCATCGTTCTGTGTGCTTGCAAATAACGCACTCGCGTGCACCCTTGGCTTTAGTACTTGTAGGTGGTATGTAGCCAAGCTTGTAAAGCATAAGGTAGTATTGAAACGATTATAGGAAAAGCTCAATTTGTAAGGTAGTCTTGAAAAGATCGCTTTGTAAGGTCCCACACAGGAAGAGATTCAGCTAGCCTCAAAGAGTGTCCATCAGTCAGGAAGAGATTCAGGTATTCTTGAAAATATCAATGAACAACACCACCATGGAAGCTGCTAACACTGTTCATCTATGCTACTTGTATCAGATGCATCATCACTGAACGCAGAAAACGATTCATCTATGTATCATCTATATAAATTCGAGATGGCAAGGGTGGGGCTCAGAGCTACAACTGGATACGCTCGCTGTATCATCCTCATAGGTGCTGTATCACTGGCATCCAACCGTTGTGTTAAGCCCTTATTGCGCCTAGCTTCACCAATATTATGACCCTTATGTTTTTCAAACAATAGGGTCTGAATTGCACCGACTGAGCGCAGTCTTTCAACACCGTGTGGGACAGGTGTTTGAGAGCCAGAGGCACGTGTGCCACAAATGGTTGCTCACGCAGTACTAACCCAGCCAGCAGCCCTTGTCTTTCATATTTGTTATAGCAAAAGGTTCGTTCAGAGTTTGTCGGGTAGGCTGCTCTATTATGACAATCTCAAATGTGTTCCATTTGTTTCAAATGTGTTCCATTTGTTTTGTATTTGTCACTTACGTCTCAATAATGGAGCAGCCTACCCAACAAACACTGAACGAACCTTTATGGGATTTGTCCATTTTTCAAATTGTTTCAACTATTTTTTATTTTATTTTTTTTATTTAATTAAGAAACATGGAGCAGCCTACCTATAGACCACCGAACAAAACTTTTTGACATTTGTTCTGGCTTTCAAAATTCATTTTTTTTTATTATTTACGTTTTTTTTAAGAAAGAAACATTAGTCGGCAGGAGTAGCCTACCTGCCAACCACTGAACGAGCCTTTTGCTATAAGACAAATTAAAAATAAATATTGAACACATTTGAAGAAAGGAAAATGTCATAATGGTTTGTTCACTGTATGTAAGGTAGGCTTCTCCATTATTGAGACGTAAATGACAAATACAAAACAAATGGAACACATTTGAAACAAAGAAAGATTGTTATAATGGAGCAGCCTACCTGCCGAACACCGAATGAACCTTTTTGACATTTGTTGTATATCAGACATTTCATTTCTTTTTTCCTACAAAAACGTCAATGCTTTGCAACATCTCAGCAGTCACCCTTTTATATCCCAGCATCATTAGCATCTTTAAACAAGAACAACATAATTTATGTGCATTGTCGGAGGCGTCTAAGAATGTGCAAGAAGCAGCGCGACCCCACCATGTGGTGTTGACGTTACTCAAACCAGCGTTCGTCATACGGGACGATTTGACGCCGATCGGGCCGTTCGTTACCCAAAATGTTCATCTTTTGGGGCGATCGTTATGCGAGGTACCACTGTATATGTATGTGGACTGTATTTGTTACTATTTTTACTAAATGTATTAGAACTCCTGATGGAAATAAATAAATGAAATGTTCTTGTATTGAATTCATTATATAATGTACTCTATAATTTAAATATATAAATATAGATTAAAATACTGTAAAGAGATGGCCCTATTGTAAGACACTGTGTAAAACTGAGAAATGTTTTTTTTGATGATATAAGGAAAAAGTAAAAGATTGTTACTTTTTATTACCTATTAGTGCATGATTCATTTATCAAATTTACTTGTAATTTTTTTTTTTAAATACTAATCTGTTTTTGTTTTAATGCACATTAATATAATTTGATTCCACAGCAAACATGTGAAAGTAGCCGTTACTTACAAAATGAATTGGAGTCTCTTGAGAGAGAGCAACACCAGATTGATGAACAAGCTGCCAAACTTGAGAAAAGACTAAGAAAAATCATGGAACTCAGTAAGTATTCAGTCTCCTGTTCTGCATTAATAGACAATATATTTAAGGATATTTTAGCAATATAACATATACTGTAGTTAGTTGCACAACTAATTTGTCGACTCTTGTACAAAACAAAAAATTATGGTTCTGGACCCTTTCAGTGCATCTGATTTTCATTGCAAATGATCTTCACTATTTTGTCACATTTATTATGTTTTATTAATTAAACAATAGCACAAATATTTGAGAAAATTTGAACATGCGCGTGCACACACGTTTCATAAGAAACAGGCTTTGAATGTAGATGAAATGCTCTTTTCATTGCAAGCCACTGCCTTTGGCAGTGTCCTGCCCTTCTCTGGACAGGACTAGATGCTATGTTGAAACCACCACATTAAGGGGTCATTGACTTCTTCACAGTCAAGTAAATGCTCTGCAGTGTGGTCGCAATGGGCAAGATGAAAGTCAGGAACAAAGTCCCAGATAGCCCGGGTGCTACCAGAAACAAACCAAGCAATGTAACTGCAAGTCGTCACAAAGCTGAACCCCACAAAGGCCCATGAGGAAAACTTAAAGCAGGAGAACCTGTAGTGCTAACAGAACATGGAGCATGCAGAAGCAACCCCATGCCAATGAAGAAAAATAACATGTAATTGAAGTTCAGGTGACCCCAACTCAGCAGAAACTTCAAAAAACAATAGAACATCCATTATTACTAGAATCAGAGGATGACAACCAGCCAGATGACACAATGCATGAATGCAAAGGGAGTAGGGAGGTGAACAAGCAATCCAAACCAATCCCTGGCAGTGACAGCATGGCAAGGCCAAAAACTGGTATGTCAGAGAAAGGAACACAAACCTGAAAGGACCCCACGTGTGGAGGAAAAAAAAAGTGAGCCAGCAGGCAAGATCAACGAGTGGGAGTGCAAAGTAACCAATCATCAGGGTAAGCCAGGACAAAGATTTCCAGAAGCTGAAGCTCTCAAGGAATCCCACAGATCAGTTTGGGAAATGCCCTGGGCATCAAATAAAATGGAAAGAAAAGATAAAAAAAATTGGATGTAATGTGTTCCACTTGGAACCTGGCAAACCCTGTACAGTACCAAGGATGAATAAGAAAATACCAGAATGCATCCTTAGGGCCCATGGAAAAAATAAAAGAATGGTGCTAAACCAGCACGTCATCCTAATGTTTCCCAAAGGTCAATTTAAAGTGTCCTCTCCTAACCTATCAGAGGACCCAAAATAGAAAACAGGACAATACGTCACTTTCGCGAGCTGCTTCCATTTTCTACTACGACAATTTTTGGCCTTAGGTAACGCATATGAGCGAAAAGCGACATTCTTTGTTAGAGGACTAGTTGGCTAAACCACCTGACAAACCAAGGAAAAGGGTAAGTGGACCACAAAAACATAATGAGTGTGCAAGTAGAAAACATATCTACAACCCGAGGAAACAAAATCATGGATGGAGGAAAGGGAAACCAGATATTTCCCTAAAAAATCTCTGCAGACCAGGTCCTGTTCCATTCCACCAAGGAAGAGGAGTCTTCCATGGAAATCGATCCCTTGTTCATCCCAGAAAACAGGGCAGAAGGGAAAGACAAAGAATCTGCCAAATTGGCCACTTTCACCCCCCTCCCCCCTTGGGCTGAGAAAATATATCTCCAAGTATATCAGGGAAACAAGGGTCTCGGATTGGACTCCATGTTCCCAAGCACAACCCTTATGGGGACAGTCCCTGGAAGTTCAGTCTTGAGAGAAAGAAACCTCACAGACACTTGGTTGACCAAAAACAAGGTTTTTTGAAGCTGTAACCAGAAAAAAAAAGGTAGAAGAGAAGCTGGGGGGCAGCCTCACAAACCCCAAGACCTCCAGCCAAACTAGAAGGAGCGAGAAATCTTACATTGTGGTGAGGACAAATGAGGCAAACCTTGTCTCATAACAACAAATGAGGATGCTCAGGCACTTCTTCAGCTAATGAAAGGAACATAACTACTGTATTGAGACATATTTGCCAGTGACTAATGGTTGTAATTAAGCTTCCTTGAGTGCACTTTTATCACTTCATACACAACCTCTCTTTCATCTTGGCACCACTCAAATTGTATGATTTTCAAACTTTGTTCATAGAGTTTGTTCATGTATCATCAGCCTTTAATAGCATCTTATTGTACATATATTATCTTGACTATGACATAATAGGAGTGTGTGATGCAGGTACTCGAAGTGAGGACGAGGAGCGACTGATGCAGCAGTGGTTCACACTGGTCAATAAGAAGAATGCTCTCATACGACGGCAGATGCAGCTCAACATTCTGTGAGTACAGTAATGCCCTCTACTACTTTGTTCTCTTGCTCTTATGCTATTGTGCTCATGTATTTACATGTATGAATGACTCGCTGAGTAACTGCATCACATGTACTGGACTAGGTTAGTGTATCCCTACTTGGTGAGTGTTGTACATTTTGTTTGTCATTATGAAGCACAATATGTGAAGTGCATAAGATTATAATTTCAATGTAAATTTTACCAATATTAGATGTTGAACATTTTTTATTGATGGCTTCTTTTTAGTTCACTTAAAAAACAATATATACCCTCAAGTGATGCCATTCAACAGAAAACATATCCAAGCATTACAATAGTGCATTACAACATAGTGACATGGCCCACAGGAAGGTAGTTCTGGCCGCCGTCGACAGAGCAGTATTGACAAATTGTTTGTGCCAATCCAGCCTGTAAAAGGCTTTCGCTTATAGATGGAGGGATCTGTGTACTATGGGTACATTTCTAGGGTTGTTTAATAGACAAGTACAGTACAGTATTCTGCATGTTTTTATGGACTAGACCTACGTCATGTTGCTAACTCCAGATGCAGTACAGCACTTATGAGTTAACCCAATTTTCATCTAGAGTCTGCACCATCGACTGAGTTACATAGTAAAGTATGTCTACCAAATTTTTTTGTTTGTAATCCATACAAGTTTTTACCACAAGCTGGTGGAGCTTTAATAATACACTAATATTAACTAAACAGAAATTAAACACTAATACTGCCTATTGGGTGAGATTTGAGCTGATGATTGCAGGGATGCTTGACTAGTACATCATTCTACAAACTGTATTTTCAGTACTGAAATTAATGCATCTCATTGTGATTCTAACCCTCCATGGGTACTGTCTTGTGGTGGTTAGGCTTGAGCACTATGCTAATCTAGAGGGCAGTTAGGTATTCCTTATGAAGCCATTCTTCTTTCCAAAGGGGTAAAAACCTGACTGTGTATGCTCAATTTTAGATTACTTTTGACCATTGTTAATCACACTCCTTAGAATACCGATTATGGCCCTTTTCTTATTTTTCCGTTAGATATTGCCTCCTCCTGCAGTGATAGTATCAGCACACTAGTCAAATGTGACAGTTACTGTCACAATTACCTCTTGGAATCTTTTTAACAGTAAAACCTTATGCTCACCTTGTCAGCGGTGTGAAAGCTGAGAGTAGATTGTAATATCAATCTTGTTTATTAAATCAGGCAAAAATATTAACACTATATTTTGACCACAAACATAGACTAAATATTATAGTTTTGATCACTGAGATGAAATTGTGAATTCTTGTGATTTGAAATTAAACATTGAACTGATTCAATCTGTTAGCACTTCTGTCACTATCCAACAATGCATTTTAGAATGTAAGCTACTGAAGTACAGTTTAAAGAGCAGACAGACAGTCTTGTTAATATTTTACAGATTAATAATACTCCAGTAAAAATTAAAAAAAAAGTTAGTCTCCATTATATGGACAATCATTCCTTCACCTGGGCTCTAGGAGACTCGAACTGTGGACCCCACACGTGTAAGGCGTCTCTCTCTCTCTCTCTCTCTAAGACTCTATCGACCAAAGGGAAGGAAACTCTCAAGAGAAAGCCCAGGTTACATATCTTTTGAGAACATTGTGTTAGAGATTTAATTCTTGTGCTTGGGTACTGTGTTAGAGATTTAATTCTTGTGCTCAGGAGTACCCAGAGAATACGCTCAAATCCTCCTGGTGGCTCCTATTGATTATTTCAGTGAAAGGTAATGATAGTGGTGGTGAAGGGAAGGTAGTGGTGGTGAGGGGAAGGTAGTGGTGGTGGTAGTGAGGGGAGGGGAAGGTAGTGATAGTGAAGGGAATGGAAGGTAGTGATAGTGAAGGGAGGGGAAGGTAGTGGTAGTGAGGGGAGGGGAAGGTAGTGGTAGTGAGGGGAGGGGAAGGTAGTGGTAGTGAGGGGAGGGGAAGGTAGTGGTAGTGAGGGGAGGGGAAGGTAGTGGTAGTGAGGGGAGGGGAAGGTAGTGGTAGTGAGGGGAGGGGAAGGTAGTGGTAGTGAGGGGAGGGGAAGGTAGTGAAGGGAATGGAAGGTAGTGGTAGTGAAGGGAGGGGAAGGTAGTGGTAGTGAGGGGAGGGGAAAGTAGTGGTAGTGAGGGGAGGGGAAGGTAGTGGTAGTGAGGGGAGGGGAAGGTAGTGGTAGTGAGGGGAGGGGAAGGTAGTGGTAGTGAGGGGAGGGGAAGGTAGTGGTAGTGAGGGGAGGGGAAGGTAGTGGTAGTGAGGGGAGGGGAAGGTAGTGGTAGTGAGGGGAGGGGAAGGTAGCGGTAGTGAGGGGAGGGGAAGGTAGTGGTAGTGAGGGGAGGGAAAGGTAGTGGTAGTGAGGGGGGGGGGAGGTAGCAGAAGTGAGGGGGGAGTGGAGGTAGCGGAAGTGAGGGGGGGAAGGTAGCAGAAGCGAGGGGGGGAAGGTTGCAGAAGTGAAGGGGGGGGAGGTAGCAGAAGTAAGGGGAGGGGAAGGTAGCAGAAGTGGGGGGGGGAAAAGGTAGCAGAAGTGAGCGGGGGGGGGGGGGGAAGGTAGAGGAAGGGAGGGGGAAGGTAGCGGAAGTAAGGTGGTAGAAATGAGGGGGTGGAAGGTAGTGGAAGTGAGGTGGGAGGGGGGGGGGAAGTAACAGAAGTGAGGGAGGGGGGAAGGTAGCGGAAGTGAGGGGAAAGAAGGTAGCGGAAGTGAGGGGGGGGGAGGTAGCGGTAGTGAGGGGGGGGAGGTAGTTGTGGTAGGGAGCATGGAAGGTATTGGTAATGAGGAGGGGTGGGGGGAATTCAGAATTTCTAATTGAAGCAGAAACTCTAAATGTGGTGATTGTCCTTTTATATAAATCATCAGATGCAAATCTTCAGCAGCTTAAAGACCTGCTAATGAAAATAGAATACTGCTTGGAAACACACACACATTATCTTGCTAGGCGATTTCAACTTGTGGCATCTAAAATGGAAAACCAATGTGTGGAAAACCAAATACAGTTATACCATAGAGAATACCAGGAAGCATTTTAAATAAAATCACACACAAATGACCTCTTTCAAATGTGTATAGATTTGCCTTAAACCAGCAAATAGTAGAAGCAAGTAGATTGTTTAGAAAACACCCTAGACCTTTTTTTTTATAAACAATGATGAACTGATTTAGGGACATGATGATTACAAATACTGTACATGTTACTCAGATCACAACCTAATCAAGGCTTAGGCAAACATGGGCAATTGACCTGTTGCCAGTCTCAAACTGAAGAGGAGGAGAATTCATCAAATTCAATTTTAATAGCAAACTGATTAACTGGGAACAAATAAATAAAGATCTTGCAGAAATTTGCAAGTAAGAACAGCTAGATAATTCAAACCTAGACCAATGGTTTTGAAAACTAGGCTCAGTAGCACTAGAAATATGTGTAATCTGCATACCACTAAGAAAAAGAGAAAAAAATGCAAACTGGAATGAGAACGGCACTCCCTCAATAGGTGAAGAAGATAGGTTGTAGAACAACTCAAATGTTCCACTCTATACCAAGAACAAGAAGCAAGACTGAGGCCTTCCATGTTGAAGAAAGAGAAATAGAAACAATCGAGCTAAAGTTATAAGAATTATATAAAGTCCTCCAGTCTAGCCTGGGCTAGACTGGAGGCTATCCGTGAAATAGAAAGAAATCCAAAATACTTTTTCTTCTATGCCAAATCTGGAACAAAAACTACATCTAGCATTAGGCCCTTGCTCAAGGGTGATGGAACTTTCACAGATGACAATAAAGAAATGAGTGAAATACTGAAGCTACAGTATGATTGTTTTCAGTGAACCTCTAAACACATTGAAGATTAATGATCCAAATGATTTATTTATGAATGTTATACCAACATTAAAGGGAAGGGACCTATCAGGAGAAGATACCAAGCCATCACAATTATATTGCACTTGGATGGGATCAGGATAAGGATTTGGGATGGGATGGAGGGAAGGGATGGTGCCCAACAACTTGGACAGTTGGGGATTGAATGCCGACCTGCATGAAGCCAGACCATTGCTCTACCAGCAATGGTAGCCCAAGCAATGGTAAGCCCAAGTGGTAGGGCTTATCAGCATTGAATCATATATGAGATGTCACCCTGACCTCACTGTACTTTGCATGGGCATGCTGTCTATGGCTACTTCAATCTGAACCAGGCCTGAATTTCTTGAATTCTATATTCATCAAGAATTAAAAAAAAAAAAATACAGGCCCCAAACATCTTTCGGAGAGGGAGTTTAAGACACTAATGCTCTATAGGCTACCTTGAGGCTACCTTGAGGTGCTTCCGGGGCTTAGTGTCCCCGTGGCCCGGTCGTCGACCAGGCCTCCTGGTTGCTGGACTGATCAACCAGGCTGTTAGACGCGGCTGCTCGCAGCCTGACGTATGAGTCACAGCCTGGTATCCTTTGGAGGTGCTTATCCAGTTCTCTCTTGAACACTGTGAGGGGTTTGCCAGTTATGCCCCTTATGTGCAGTGGAAGCGTGTTGAACAGTCTCGGGCCTCTGATGTTGATAGAGTTCTCTCTCAGAGTACCTGTTGCGGAATATAGGAGTGGAATATTTTACACAGTTATATTCCCATTCAAAGCTGGAGAAATTGCAGACCTGGAGAACGTGCAGAGGTCTTTCGCTGCCCAAATCCGTTCAATACACATCAAAATTATTGGGACCACTTAAAAATGTTAAACCTGAAAATACAACTGTATTTTCCAGAGTGCAAGCGAGAGAGAGATACATAATTATTTACACTTGGAAATATTAGCGTGACTTTCCAAATCTGCACATCGAAATAATGTAACATGCTGAGAGAGAACTCTATCAGTTTTGATTTTTTATTAGTTTTTTATTTATATAGAAGAGTTCTTACATTCTTTTAAAGCCACTAGCATGCATAGTGTTTCAGGCAGGTCCTTAATTCTAATTTTCAACAGAATATAACCCGCCAAATCGTTTAACAA